CTTGGGACGAATGTAGGGGGATGTCCCTCCTTGAGACGAATGTAGGGGTGTGTCCCTCCTTGAGACGCCTGTAGGGGGTGTCCCTCCTTGGGACGCATGTAGTGGGGCGTCCCTCCTTGGGACGCATGTAGGGGGTGTCCCTCCTTGGGACGCATGTGGGGATGTGACCTTCCTTGGGACGCATGTAGTGGGTGTCCCTCCTTGGGGCTCTTATGTAGGGGAGTCCCTCCTTGGGACGCATATGTAGGGGTGTGTCCCTGCTTGGGGACGCATATGTAGGGGTGTGTGCCCCTATGCGTGTGTCTTGGGGTCTCTCCTGGGAAGCATGAGACCGCATGTGACCAGGCAAATTCTATTCTATCAATCAGTTCAAAACGCCCGTTGAATACCAGAAATGGGCTGCGCTTATTGTGAATCACGGAGGCGTGTCGACGCGGCGGTCTGCAGCTTAAGGTGTTCATTGTCATAGCGATACCGCGTCCATTCAAAACCAGCCTGATCAAAGATTACACTTGAATCCTATCACGTGATCCCAGGCAGTGGTGGAGCCAAGATCACAGACTGCTCGTAATAGTGTATGATCACAAATTTGAAAGCGTAACTTTAGCGTCCCCAGATAGATCTAATACTACACGAAAATACCCAGCTTGATCTGATCTTCAGATTAACAAATAACTTGATACACATCAACAGACTGGTGGCTGTTCCTGGGTATGTGGAGACACCGTGAGACCAGAACGCACTTTACAGACCCGTGGTGGGCACGTATCGATTAAACAAGGACAGATTCCACATGTTCAGGCTACGCGTAAGTGATAATTAGTTGTATTGGTAGAGTGAAAGGCAATACTGACACACGTCGAGAGATGTCGACGTATCCACCCGTTTGTGTGTTTATTTTAGTTCGGAGGGTTATAATTAGAAACATTATGAACAACTTTCTCTTAAGATGATGTACTCTTTTTAACAAAAATATATGTTGCTCTAGTTTCAAATTTACAACTAATAGCCATATCTTGCTAAATGTGATCTTAGACTGTTGAATGACATTGATTACTGGCACTGGGTTCTTCACGGCCGATGACTGTATATACATAGTGACTCGCGGCTCACAGCTGTCCGACAATCGGCATAGCTCGGCTCACTTCGGCACCACTCGGTATCTCGAAGTATCGGTATCATCACCACTCACCCAAGGTATTCGGTTGTCCAGGTATTTACACGAGTGAGTCACGTATAAGCTTCATTACTTGAATTTGTTATCCACAACTTTTTGCTCACGAACTTTTATCGCATACTTCTACCACACCTTTTATAAAGGTTATCTCGTCTACGGACTGACAAGCTTCTTCATGTATTGAGGATGTGTCAATAACGTTGATTTTTCATCTGGTACTATGTAAATATTTCTCATTAAAGGTCACATGCAACCAAACAATCAAACATAATTAAAACACAATTATCACTTATTCATAACATATAATATACATTGCTGGTTATGAAAAAACATATAAACAAAATTATAAGCGTGCAATCGCAAATCAAAAGTGCAATATTTTGTACTTGGGTTAACTTCCCAAGAAACGAAGCAGCCGGGATACCGAACCCGGTCAGAGCGGATGGGTGTGCACTCAAGTGTAACGGCTGGTTCATTTGCAGATGCCCCCACGGCTCATTGTGTGTGTATATAGAGATGTTGGGTTTTGTAAATACATGCTCATTTTTTTGTATATAACATTTTGCAATCAACAGACATCATAACATGTCATGTGTACAAGTATCACACCTGCCTATCTGTGTAATTACATAATGTGACAGAGACCGAATTCGGGCCATAAATCAATGCGTTTTGTTTATGGTGTATAGCCTGATAGGTGTTAAGTTCAAATTGCATGTGGTCAGTGATCGAAGTTGTGTATTGAATATTGTCATTAGCAGACAGACAAGCAGACACACAGGTGTCAATAAACAGACACTGAGTTTTGTCTGTGACAACGACATATCTATATCACAGTTAGAAATTCTGTCAACGCTAACTAATGACATTGCTTTTAAGTATCGAACTGAGAAAGTGACTGGGTAAGAAGAACGTGTGGTGAAATAGACAAATGAAATTATATAAACAGTTAAATCGGTAATCTACTGTAATAACATATAAAAAGCTCGCGCCTGTGAAATATCAACAAAACATTAGAAAAATAGCTCACACCAAAGCCTTCACCGAATACTAGTATTCACCGGACAACCCGCTTCCAAGCTGCGCGAACCTATTTCACTGCGCATGTGCTATGAGCGCAGCCCAGCTGTTGAAACCACTTCAATTCCCCCAAGCGCTGGGGGAAAATTGATGAATCGTTTGAACTACGATTTCGCGCGGTCTTTTTCATCGCGTTATTTTTCAACTTTATAAGTTGAATTTGCATTTTTGATGATTTGTTTCGGTAAGTCCATACCGAAAGGTATCAGAATCTGCAAAGTTGTGTTTTACGTTGCATGTGACCTTTAATGGCCATTTGTGCCACCTTGTGAATTGTACATATCTGGTTGTAAATGTTCATTGTTACCTTCGGGTAGCTTAGATACAAGACTTTATTTTGGTACCTACATCCGCCCTATTGGTTCAGTAGTTAGTTTGCTACACGTGTTTTTTCCATATGTAGTCCATACCGAAAGGTATCAGAATCTGCAAAATCTGCAGAATCTGTTAACAACAGCGTCCCTAACAACGCCATAGGCTAAACATGCCTAGATTGATTGCAAGGTTTCACGTTATCACAGAGGTGGCAACCGCTTTAAGGTGTACGTGCAAATTGTGCATACTGTTCGATTTCTCTGCTTTGCTTGCTTCGCGTTTCTCGTTAATCGTGTGGCTTTTGACAATTTGCACACTTTAACCATACTTATACTCCCTTGATTTTGTCTATTGTGAAAGGTTTATTCGGTGATGACATTTACTATTGCCATAGGCGGATCCACCAGAGCGGACGTGCATAATGGCTGGCTTGTTATATTTTGTACCTCCTTTTCTTGTAATCCATGGATTACCTACCATTGCGAATTTGTTAGGTTTAGTTTTACGCCGCTTTTAGTAATATTCCAGCAATATCGCGGCTGGAGACACCAGCAGAATTGGGCTTCACACATAGTACCCATGTGGGGAATCGAACCCGGGGCTTCGGCGAGACGAGCCTACGCGGTAAGACTTCCGCCCGTATCCCCCTTCCCCCCTAACTTTGAACGATGAGGAAAGATTTCTTTCAGTGGCATTTTTAGAAGTTGGATATGTCTTTCAGTATGTTCAGATACGTTTAAAGAATCATGTTAAAAATTATCCTTATCAGAGGAGGACAATATATATTCAGGTGATATCTTTTGACTAGAAGGGGATACCGGCAGAAGTCTTTCCCTACTGTATACCCCAACCCCCGGCAAACACTATAGATACATGGAATCGTCTGACCTACTTATTTTCTTGGAACGCCTGTAGTTGTTGACAGTTACGTAACAGTTGGAAATGGCGGACGAGCTAGTGTTTACATTTTGCGAAAGGTTGAAGTGACAGTGGAGAAAATATTTGGCTGACTGTCGAATCTGAACCATGCAGAATCGAAGAATAGATCCTTTTCTGATCGATCTACGAATCAGTGTTGTAACTCGTCAAAGACTTTTGACTTTTATGAACAGCGAGTTTCAATCATGATTTCACGTATAAAGTAACAATTCTTTATTATAATGTAAGCGAAGTTTCGGTGTAGCTGCTTAAAAAAATCACGATAGAACATCCCCCGTTGAAGAATGTAACTAGCATAACGTTAATCTCAGCCAGCGTCCCTAACAACAGCGTCCCTAACAACGCCATAGGCTAAACATGCCTAGATTGATTGCAAGGTTTCACGTTATCACAGAGGTGGCAACCGCTTTAAGGTGTACGTGCAAATTGTGCATACTGTTCGGTTTCTCTGCTTTGCTTGCTTCGCGTTTCTCGTTAATCGTGTGGCTTTTGACAATTTGCACACTTTAACCATACTTATACTCCCTTGATTTTGTCTATTGTGAAAGGTTTATTCGGTGATGACATTTACTATTGCCATAGGCGGAGTGCGCACTCTCCCCTTTTTTGTCCTGAAAGTTTATTAAATGACCATTGAAACTCGAAAAGCTGTATCCACCCGTGCAGAATTATCTTAAGTCGACACTCCTTCTCTCTCACGAAGAACATCCATGGCAGACAAAAGTGTAATTATTTGCCCAATATTCGGGTGGCTTTCTTGAAGCATTATATAACGGGTTCGACCTGATTTAAAAATGGCAGAAGTTAAGCTATTTATATTAGGCCAGACACCACACACAGATAGGTGGTCTGTATATTATTTGCTTAGGCAAACTTAAGGTTATCGAAATGGTTGTCCCCCACCTAAGGCCATCGAATCCGCGGAATGTGACTCCTTGCCTCACCCTTAATATAAGCCCGATGTGCAATTGCCGTGAATGCTTCATGTTGTATTTGCCTGTTCGTTTATTTGATCAGTTCTTTCGTTTTATGTTTTGAAAAAAATAAATTCTAAGCGCAGATGATTTTGAAACACAGTCGACCCAACCACGAAATGCTAAACTGAAACCCAACCCCTTCCTCGCATCGCGTGAGACATTCAGGCAAACAAGCCCACCCCTCGATGGACCATCCCAAACAGGTTTGACTGTAGCCATACTCATTCGCACCCGCAAGCAGTCATCCAAGGATAACTTCCTTCCATGGGTTGACATGCTGTCTGTTGAATCACTGCCGGAAACACTGTCGGAATGACCGATACAACCACACGATCTTCCTCAAATTACGTGAAACTCGAGAGCGACCTCGAGCTCATATTGGTCGCACCGTCCTATCTACATCCTCATTCAAATCGCAAGACCCGCCCGTTAAAGCGAAACGATCTGATGCAAACAAGTCTGGATGTGGGTATGTATATGCATACGCTGTATAAAAGAGGTTATCCCAACATGGCGTGTATATTCTCATACCGTCCGGGTTTTATGTCATCTCAACAGCATCCGAATTAGTATGTTCCTTCAATATGAAATTATATATATTACACTCATGTCATTAGCGCGCCATCACTGTTCGAAAATCACCAGTGAACGTGTACCTCGTTTTGTCGCCGCTAAGGCTTCGTTATAACGCGCCTAGCCAACGTTGACAGCCGGAGACCACAAACTCAGTCAAGCGCTCAAAGCTGAGCGTTATATAACGTGATCACTTTTGGCAAAACATGATTCGGGTGAGTAAGGTTTGAATTTCACAGTTGTGTTAAAACAAACTTGTGTTCGTTTTCTTCCTTGATTGTGCCAGGACACTAGTTGTGTCCTGTTTGTATTGTACTCCTGTGAATGTACTCCATAACACTAAGTCTTTGTTATGATGCTTGCTGACGGCATGCTGTAACACGTGGACTATTTATAAACAATTAGTACATGATGTCGTTCAAATACCGCCATATGCCTTTCACCCTAGATGTTGTGTATTGTATGATATGATGGGCGGCAGAATGTTTCTCCTGAAACTAAAACCAGGAATATAGCATACAGAATATAGGTACGGAGTATGTTGCCCAATTTTATAAAAACACACACACTTTAGCCAATGTGTACATATACATATATGAAAAGTTTTGCTGTGGCACTGAATTAATAATCAGAGATTCAGTATAAGTATATGGGTACGTTTAGTTTTAATGATTTATTTAATTTTAATTTGTGTAATTTGACTTTTCTTTGCTCATTGGTGACGTGAGACAACGACACTGGAACTGTTGCGGGCTAGTCAGCCCCCTACCCATAACTGATGGTTTTGCCAACGTCAAGTTTCAAGCGTGTATTATAAAAAGTTATCTATTTGACGTCAGACGTATCGGAGGGGAAGAACAATGTAAAACATGTCTTTGCCTACATAAATGTTGTTGCTTTTTTCAGTGAAAGTTTTTCAGTCTTTTTGTAATTCTAGCTGGTAAATGTAACACTGAATAAGACAAGAAGGTACTTATTACCATCTAGATCTTGTCTTTCCGATCTGGTTATTAAAAAAATCGATAAGACCTTTTGATTGTTTTACAAGTCCACCGAATGAAAAAATAACGAAAGCAGAAATTAGTTTGAATTAGGCGAACTTTATTTATTAGGTTAAAAATATCCCCTCGTATAACAGGCCGGAGATGTGAATGTAAATGAAATATTTTCTTTCTGATAAGACACAAATTGACAAAGAAACAAAGCCTAGCACATTCATGTAGATGTACGGCTTGGTTCTAACAGGTGTGCACATGTTTTGTAGTGCTGTCGATATATTGACTGGTCTCTTTCTCCATTAGGCTCTATGGATAATCCGAAATATCAGCTGTTGTTCTAGGACTCAATAGTCGATTTTGAAATGAAGTTCAGCGTCGCTATGGGGATAATCTCAACTTATGCACCCACCCCTTCACACACACACACACACACACACACACACACACACACATTCACACAGCATAACGACTGGCCTTGGGTTAGTCTGTGCACAGCCCCTGAATCATGTTATTTTCCCTTCTGCCCAGCACTGTTTGTAGTGTGTGAGTGAGTTTGGTTTAACGCCGCTTTTAGCAATATTTCACCAATAGCCTAGTGGTAAAAGCGTTCGCTCTTCACGCCGAAGGCCCGGGTTCGATTCCCCATATGGGTACAATGTGTGAAGCCCATTTCTGGTGTTCCCCCGCCGTGATGTTGCTGGAATATTGCTAAAAGCGGTGTAAAACCATACTCACTCACTCCACCACACTGGGGCTCCTTTTAAATTTAACTGGAGATTTTTGTTTCTATCAAAGCAACATATTTTCAGAGACTTAGCTTTCGTCTAGATGGTGAGCCCCGCGGAAGGACGTATTATACGTATAGTTGTAAATGTGTATCTGGCTATATAAAATTTAGAGTGAGCGGAATGTGTTTTACAGAGATTTAGCAATATCACGGTGGAGGACATCACGAATTGAGTTCACACATTGTCTGATTCCTCACATTATATAAAACTCGGTAAAATTCTTTTACTGCTCTATTCATATTTCGGTTCCGGTCAGGTACGGAATTTAGAAAGTAAGTACAGGGGGATAACTCTGGTGAGTTCGACCATAACGCCTTCGGAAAGGTTTCTATAGTACAGTTGCTATTTCTGCTACCTCTTGCTGTCCACTCAGTGGTTCAGTGTTACCATTAATGAGCAAGGGGTCAAGGAAAAAATCCTATAATTTTGTGTGCTAACAGTTATCACACTTATTATAATGCATTTTGTTTTGATCAACTAGTTTTGGGCAGGCAGGCGCTGCAAACAGCTTACGTTAGGAGTTACTTCCCTTTTCTCATGCACATGTAATGGCTCGCAAAATGGCTAGCGGCTCGAAAATGTCCGTAAGTAGCCAACCACACAGTTTTTAGAGCAAGTAAGCAATCAGCTCAGCTCAGCTCAGCTCATGCTGCTCATTACCGGATTGTCTGGTCCAGATTGGGTTATTTACTGACCGACTCCATACAGTTGGAATATTGCTGAGTGCAATACTCATGCTTGCACACTGGGTAGCTACAGTGGTACATAGCGCTATAATCACTTCCTCGACAAGGTGTAGGTTGTAAGGGAAGCTTAAACTAGCTAACAATGTATACGTAGCACCTCTGTTTTAAAACAATTTCTGTATTTGTGTTCTGAGTGCAGTTCTCACATTAAGTGTTTAAGCGCAGAATCTTGGTTTAGAACTTTCAAAGTTTTGCACATTTACTTGCATGTTCACAAGTAAGGATGACTGTTTCATTTGATCAAATCAAGTACCGTATTTCCTCAAAAAAGCGTCCTGGAGCTTTTTTTAACGGGCTTCCAGATCCGAATCTTATTAGAGTTCCGGCGCTTATCTGAGGAAATACGGTACTCGTCATGTCACAAAGGTATCAGCACTGTGTGAATAGCTTGACCTTTTATGGACGAGTGAAAATTCATTCAGGGATCTATATTTTGAAAAGAGCGCCTGTCTGTCAGGTGCGTATTTGAGAACCTTTCTGCAGAATTTGACTTGCCACTAACGCGGCCTGGTTAAGATATTAATATTGGATTGTTGTTTATTTGTTTGTTGTTTACGCCGCAACCAGCAATGTTCCTGCTATATTACAACGGTCTGGACAAGATAATCCAGTCACTGACATAATGAGTACCGATTCACGTTATCGGAATGCGATGACAAGTGTCTACCTCGTCACGAACGAGCCTGACCACACGAAATCCCGTCCGTCGCCTCTTACGAAAAGCATGGGTTACTGAAGACCAAGTCTAACCCGGATCTTCACGGGTAATTTTGGGGTTTACATGTAAACAAAATCTTTACCCCACAAATGCAATCCTGAAACCCAGTCTCTCCCTATATATTCATCTTAGTGGCTGAAATATTAGGAATAATGATCCGTAACAACGCTGCAATAAAAGGAATTACATTGAATAACACTGAACATAAAATTGGACAGTACGCAGATGATACTGAATTATTTCTCGATGGGCGCGAAGAAAGTTTAAGGGCAGCAACTGACACTCTCAATAATTTCTACAAAATGTCTGGTTTAAGAATAAATATAGATAAAACGAAAGCAGTGTGGATAGGCTCAATGGCAGGTAGTAGCATGATTTTATGCCAGGACCTTAAGCTTGATTGGCATAATGAGGACTTTGATATTCTAGGAATAAGACTTAATCCTAATTTAAATAACCTTTGGGTAATTAATACAAGAAAAAGACTAGAAATTATTAATAGAACTCTAGGGAATGGAGGAAAAGAAAGTTGACATTAATAGGAAAATAACTGTTATTAAAACTTTAGCACTTTCATCATTGGTGCATATATTCACCTCACTCCCAAATCCTCCAAAGGAATTCATTGACAAATTAAACAATATATTTTATAAATTCATCTGGAATGATAAGCGGGATAAGATAAAGCGAACGACACTTATTAGAAAATATGAAGAGGGGGGACTCAGAATGGTTAATGTACAGGTATTCATAAACTCTTTAAAACTGTCAGTTTTACATAAATATCTTCAAAATAATAGCAATTCTATCCCTAGTATCTTTCCATTTAAAGATATATTTCTGCTTGGAGCCAATATTGAAAACTATGTCAGTATTATAAATCCCTATTGGAAAGATGTATTGGCTGCATGGGGAATATTCTATAAAACACATCAAACTGATTTTACAGATATTGATCAAATCTTATCTCAACCCCTTTGGTTCAATCACCAATTCCAAAATAGTAATTTCATTATAAGACATTGGCATCTCAAAGGTATTCACTCTATAAAGAGACTTGTGTAATGATCAAGGTATTTTGCCATTTAGTGAACTTAAGAAAACTTACAAAATTAAAGGCACAATTCTTGACTATTACCAGGTTCTTTCAAATATACCCAAAAAATGGAAAAAGAAACTATAAGAAAGAATTTATTGATTGTTCATAATCATTATCTTAACACATCACTGATAGATTTACTTTCAGCACCAAAGAGATCCAGATATTTCTATGACAAACTTATAACTACTGCAAAACCTACCATCAACATGTGAAAATGGCAAAATATCTTTGATATTGCAATTCCATGGCAAGATATTTTAGAAAATATAGAAGATGTACAAAGATACCAAATTGATTGACTTCCAGTTTAAATTTATCCACAATATTGTCTACACAAAGAAAGAATTATTGAGAATGAAATTAGTAGATGATGAACTTTGCTCATTTTGTAATTTAATGTCAGAAAATTTGATACATGTTTATTGGGAATGTGAATGTGTGAAAACGTTCTGGCTGAAAGTGAAAGAATATATTGAAGATAAATCATCAGAAACTTTTACCCTTACAAAATATACAGTCTTAATTGGCGGATATAATAACGACCTTATGAATCACATACTTCTTGCCAGTAAAAATATATCCATATATCAAGTATTAAAAAAATAAATACGGTGTACAATCCTGTTGAAAAGGCCGTTACCTGTTCAAGATGAACCTGCTAGTTCTAAAAATGGCGGGGCGGTTGGGCAGCCTAGTGGTTAAAACATTCGCTGGTCACGTCGAAGACCCAGGTTCGATTCCCCATATGGGTACAATGTGTGAAACCCATTTCTGGTGTCCCCCGCCGTGATATTGCTGGAATATTGCTAAAAGCTGCGTAAAACCAAACTCACTCACTCACTCACTCACTCTAAAAATGGCCCCGAACCGAAATCCTCTTATTTAGAAATACATGTATATGGATTTGAAATACTTAGATGCCGAATGCATGATTGTTGTTGAACATACACTAGTATACATGTGTACATTTGTATTCATGAAGCTTTTATTTCTGCTCAGGCGCTGCGACATCGACATCGCAGTTCTTCAATCTTCAGGCCAGGTGTCATGAATATGCGATGCTTGAATACAAGGGGAGGTAAGTAATTACAGCTTATGATTAACAAATTAACCAACTGGAAGGTTGTAGTAGGAGTCAAGTCTATTTAAATCAAATGCAACATGCTCCGTTTGTAATGGCAAAGGAAGCCTGTGCGTTTTCGATAATATTTTCGATAATACACCAGAGACCCATTATCACTTATAGAAGCAACTGGGAACCGATGACATGTGTCAACCAAGTCAGTGAGACTAACCACCCGATTCCGTTAGTCGCCTCTTACGACAAGCATGGGTTACTGAAGATCAATTCTAACCGGGATCTTCATGGGTCTTTTATTATCACTAACGTCCCAATAGCTAGACAATAATCGTGAATGCTTTGTCTCATCGCCATTGGAGACAATGTCGTCCACAGGGGCTTGTATGCACTAGCTCCAAGGTATAGTTTGTCACTGCTAGGGTCTTAGCACTCTGGGGCTTTTCAAGAGGTAGCCTAGTGGTTAGAGCGTTCGCTCGTCATGCCGAAGACCTGGTTCAATTCCTCAAGTTGGTACGATGTGTGAAGCCCATTTCTGATGTCCCACCGCCGTGATATTGCTGGAATATTGCTAAAAGCGGCGTAAAACTAAACCTAAAACCTGATAAATCCGCAATACAGTTTGTCACTGCTAGGGTCTTAGCACTTTGGGGCTTTGAGGTAGCCTAGTGGTTAAAGCGTTCGCTCGTCATGCCGAAGACCTGGGTTCGATTCCCCAAGTTAGTACGATATTAGTACCATTTCTGGTGTTCCCCGCCGTGATATTGCTGGAATATTGCTAAAAGCAGCGTAAAACTAATCTCACTTACTTAGCACTGTAGTCAAGGTCCCTTAAATAAATAGTGCCAATTAATACACCGGCAGGGCAAAATATTTGTTGTTGTTTTGGGGGCTAGTCTAGTTGTTTAAGCGTTTGCTTGTCATACCGAAAACCCGGCTTCGATTCCCCGCATGGGTACAATGTGTGAAGCCCATTTCTGGTGTCCCCCGCCGTGATATTGCTGGAATATTGCTAAAAGCGGCGTAAAACTAAACTCACTCACTGTTGTTTTGAGGGTTTTTTTTGTCATGGTATCCCAAATTAACTGTCAGAATAATTTTCTCTTTGGTTTATGTTTCAGGTCGGCTAACATTGATATCAGGTTTCTGTGTTCTGCTAATCATTATTGTCACCCACAATCAGATGGTGTATGATGTCATTGTGGAGGACATGGAGGTTGTACGGTACAAATACCAGGCTGATAGGACCAATTACATCTGCTGCGACATGCTAGGCGGGCTTGGCAACCTGTTGTTTCAGTACGCCTTCACGCTGGCCATGTCACTCCGCTTTAACATGACAATGGTGTGTGAAACAGATAAGATTCAGACCATACAACAGATGTTCGATATCCCAGACTGTGCTGATGACTACAAGGGCCTTCGGTTGTGTTTTGGCGAAGGGGCAATCAAAAACAAGTTCAACATTGGCTATGATTCGAAAGTTGGAAATATGATGCTTAAACGCGACACTCATTTTGGTGGCTATTTTCAGTCCTGGTTATACTGGGTAAAATACGAGGACACAATAAGGGAACACTTCACCATAAAGTCCGACCTAAAGGCATCAGCGGAAAACTATATCGATGCCAGTTTACAAGAACTCGGAGTCGAAAACAGATCATCCGTATCTCTGGTGGGTGTTCACGTTCGACGGGGTGACCTGCTAAATGATTTCTTTCGTGAACATGGTTATTTTGTTGCACCAGAGGAGTATTTCCACAAGGCTATGGCCTACGTCACCAAGAGAGTTCCTAAACCAGTCGTGTTTGTTGTCAGTTCTAACGACATGGAATGGTCACAAGAAGTTGTCAAGGAAACGAATGCCGTGTTCCTGCTGAACAATACAAGAGAGTTCGACTTTACAGTTTTGACAATGTGCGATCATTTTATTATGTCAGTGGGAACGTTCGGATGGTGGGTAGGTTGGCACATTCAAGGATTGGTTATTTATTACAATAAACCATTCCGACCAGACTCTGAGCTGTCTGGTGTTGTTACCAATGACTATGTAACAACTTTTGCCTACCCTAAATGGATCGGGATGAGCTGATACCTGTATGAATGTGCATGAGTTGATGAAAAAATTGTGCTTATGTGAACATGTGATGCTTAAAATTACGGGTCTCGTCTATACAGGGGTTGCCTGGTCACGTGTTCGCTCGTCACGCCGAAGACCGGTTCGTTTCGCAACATGGGTACAAAGGCTGAAGCCTATTTCTGGTCTTTACACCCAAGTCATATTGCTGAAATAATGCCTAAAGTTGTGTAAAACGTTGTGAACTCAGTCAGTCACTCTTGTCTTAGCGTCTGTTGAAGTGAAAGATTTGTTTGTGGTTTACAAAAGCATTAAGCAGTATTCCACATATATAGAAACAGTCTGTAAATATTCGTGTCCGGAACAGACAATCCAGTGATCGATATTGTGATCACCGAATCTCAGATAAGTACAGTCTCATTAAAATCATATCTACACACCTTTACCACAACCCCTCCATGGGAGATCGCGCTTTGGGTGAACTGGAGGTTCTGGAGCTAATCAGATCTGTACAAAGGAAATCAGAACATACATACTCCTATTGTATTCCCTTCTGGGTGTGTCATGGCGCTCAGAAACAACCTGATGTATAACATACAAAGCAAAATATTGGCACGTATTTTATTTATTTGTCTACATTGAGAACCTGTCTTACTTTTTAGTAGATATTAGAGCTGTGGGTAAAATATGTTTGGAACAAAGAACTTGCATCACTATTTTTGAGCAAGTTTCAGGATCCGTTTCTTCTTTCCTGCGATCCATTACATTACTGGGTACTGCTATAGACAATACTTTAATGTGCATTGAGGATATTACTTGTTTGTATCAGTCAGCTGCAAGTATCATGAAGAAAAAGTACGAACTATGTCAAGCTGCAAATAGTGTTGTTTCTCAATCGTCCTGGTGGGATGAAGAATTATATAGTTATAAACATAGGAAATAGTCGCATTAAACAAATACCGCCAGTGTGGCACCAATTTTAAACTATATAGACATTTAAGAAATAAATTCAAGAGGTTATTTTGTCTCCATAGACAGAAATATCAGAGCCAACAGAGAGTGTTGCTTGCAAATGCCAGATAGGATAACCCCAAACCACCACACACACACACACACACACCCAAGTTTTAAAAGGAAACAAGGTTAATAAATCTTGTTTTTCCTGAGAATGATTGTTCTAATTTTCAAGGAAATCCTAGTTCTGATTTTATGCCAACTTGTGATGATGTAAATGATTCAACTTGTAATCTGAATGTACCTATTACCGAAGATAAAGTAAAGTTGAGTTTGACAAATTTAAAAATGGGAAAATCCCCAGGGGAGGATGGTATACAAAGTGAATGTTTGAAGTCCACTAGTTGTTATACTGCACCATTATTGACTAGAATGTAAAATAATCTCTTCCATGATGGAGTATTTCCCATTGTGTGGGGTAAAAGTATAATTTACCCATAACATAAATCTGGTAATAAGAATGACAACGGGAATTATAGAGGAATTTCTTTAATTGTGAACTAGGCAAATCTCTATCTACTATCCTGAACATATATGGTGTAATGTGAATAATGTTATCTCTGTGCCCCAGGCAGGTTTTAGACCTGGTTACGCCACTATTGATCAGTTATTTACTTTGCAAGCAATGATCTAGAAGTGTATATCCAAGAAAAAGGCAGATTCTACTGTATATTTATAGATTTCAGTAAAGCCTTTGATTGTGTAAACCGTCACGTTTTGTTTCAAAGTTTATACAATATAGGTGTGCGTTGCAAATTTCTAAAGTTTATTATCTCGATGTATTCATCATTAAAAATATCATGTTGTGTAAGAACATCAGAAGGGTTAACCGACTATTTTAAATGTGATATTGGAACCCGTAGGGTATATCACGAGTCCTCTTATATTTGTCATTTTCATAAACCAATTGTGTGCAATGCTCGAGGAGAAACGAGTCAGAGGTATATTTGTTCACAAGAGCATCCACATTCTGTAGCATTTGTCTTTGCTGATGATGTAGCCGGTGTATCGGACTCTGTTATCAATTTACAGAGAAAAATAAATGTCTTAGAACAATTTTGTGAAAGAACTGGTATGAGGGTCAATGTACAAAACACTAAAATTATGGCGTTTCGAAGAGGTGGTACTCTACGAAGTTATGAGAATTGGTACTTTGAAGGCCAAAAGATTGATGTTGTAAATAACCATAGATATCTTGGGTGGTTTTCACACCAACTTTGCCATGGTCAAAAGCACAGAGCTGTTTATCAGCTCAGGCCTCTGATGTCATTATAAACCTATCAAAGAAAATATGGATTTGTTTCTTGTACTGATGCCTTTAATATATTTGATACAATGATTGTTCCAATTGTTTGTTATGGAGCTGAAGTTTGGGGTACATATTATTGTAAAACAATCGAAAGAGAACATACCAGTTTTTGTAAGAGACTATTAAGGCTACACAAGAATATATGGATGATGCTGGTAGAAACAACTGGGCTTCTCATGTGAGAAATATTTGGTTCCAATTTGGTTTTGGAGTCGTGTGGATAAGTCATGGCATTGGTAATGTTAAAACGGTTATATCACTTTTCAAAGAGATTATTTGATTCCTTGAGTCAAGAATGGCATTGTATTATCTCACAGTGAGTGAGTGGGTTCAGTTTTACGCCGCACTCAGCAATATTCCAGCTATGTGGCGGCGGTCTGTAAATAATAGAGTCTGGACCAGACAATCCAGTGATCAAGAGCATGAGCATCGATCTGCGCAATTGGGAACCGATGACACGTGTCAACCAGGTCAGCGAGCCTGACCACCCGATCCCGTTAGTCGCTTACGACAAGCATGGGTTACCTTCACAAGTAATTATCTCACAGTTGAGCAAGTGTCAAACTTATTGTCACTTTAGGACTATGTTACATGTTGAATCAGTTGACATTCCTTTGCATCTAAGAACTGTTATTGTATATTCCGGTGTATCAATTTCAGGGTAGCAATTGAGGGATTTTTTATATTATTGTTTGCGAGATGCTTTGTTTTGATTGTCACAGTGAAAATGTATTCCTTTTAGAAGATCAATTTCATGAATTAATGATTTGTCAACGTTATAAAGCTGTAAGAATAGATAAGAAATAGCCCTTCTATGGACACTTTTGTTAGAATCACATGGAGTATTGACAAAATGTATTGTTAAGTTTAGCAAAGTTTTTATATAAAGTTCTTAAGATAAGAAATGCTTTAAATTAGGATTAGATTTTCAGCATATCAGCTGAAATATTGATTGATAATTTGGTATAATATCGCTACTGTAATTTTGTCGGTAACTCAAAGTCTGGATGTCGACTGAGTTACCGACATCCTCGCTCGATTTAAAAAATGCTTATTCTTCAACACATAGACATTAATAAGCAAACTCAGTGCATTGAATGTATTTGCACCATCAAGGTTTATCAGTGTGTTAAATTATTTTGATTGTATACACATGGAAGACTGCTAATTCGAGGGAAATAATCGCCAAGCGATCTTACCTGCCGCCATGTTGGGATGCTGGTAACGCATCACCTTAGGTAGGGGAGACCAGGGTCAATTGTAACAAGGGGCAATTGTAAGAAGGGCGATTACTCTAAAAGCTTTCGCTCAAGTATAGTGTAGGTGAGTAGAGTTATTTCTCTTTACTTTCCTACGGTACACATCCAGGCGTTTTTCAGCTGCTCGCTCATGGCGAGATACAGTTGATGAAGAACCGTTTTTCACAGAGGAAAGTAAATTTTTCACAAAACGTAATAAAAGGTTCTTAATGCAGTAAATGTTGCTTGGTATGAAATTAATTAACAAGTGTAAAATTAAGGTATTACGACATATTTTGAAGTAGAAATATTTGAGAAGCCCTAGGTTGTTAACGTGTGACGTGGCATGAAACATGGCTACTACCATCGGGGGCAATTGTAACACTGTGTTACAATTGCCCCCATGTAATTTTCCCTTGTGTTAGGATAATGAAGCAAATTATGATGAATGTTTTATGTTAGTTCTTTACTAGTTTTATCATAGTAGAACGTGTTCAGTCTTATGTTGATAGTATCAGCCTCGGGTGACATATTTTGGTGTTGGTCTTTGTATTATATTTTGGGCATACCAATACAAGAATTTTAAACCAAAAACATTTTAAATGTCCATGGTGATAAAGGTTTAATGTTAATCCATTTCCACTTCAATTGATCAAGATAACATCTTTCCACTTTTTATTTTCATTTTATTTGGAAAATAAACAGATTGTTACATTTGAACCTTCTTTGTTAAGGGTCCTTCACACTTATTTCGAATTGACAGGAATCAAGGAGAATCAGCCAGAAAAAAAATATTCCAAAATTCGAACCGCATTCGGGAGAGAATGTCTAAATAAACATTTTTTTTCAAGCTTTGTAAGAATGCTTAGAACGCACTTCGAACCCGTCTCGAATTATTCTTACTCATTCCAAATGTACTAGATCACGAATGCAGGTCGAATGAATCGGAATACAGAAGGAATAACTAGAACGCCGTTAGAATACACTAAGAATACTTAAAATGAATTTTGACTGCAGTACGAGTCCGGTTCGATTGCTGCGTGAATATCACTCAAATTTCAGTTGGAACGTACCTCGAATGCTGCACGAATTTACATAGAATGCATTCAGAACCTTCTTGGAATGGCCCCCGAATATGGGTTGAATGTTAAAGAATTAAAACAGAATGCAGCTCGAATATTTCAAATGTCCTTCAAATGCGCTTAGAATGTAACACGAATGTCCGGTATGCATCAAGAATGCTGCCGGAATTTTCCACGATGGGGTATAAAAACCGGTTGAATCTGGACTATTCATCAGTCACTGCCCAACTCCCATAGAGTATGGACCACCTGGACCATGTTGCGGTGCTCCCGATTGCTGTCCTCCAGCAATCCCAGATTGAAAGAGATGTGGAAAAACAGAGACCCAGGAGATTCCAGACCAGACCATGGCTGACAGAGGAAAGGAGGAGGCTGTTTGACATTACACAAGACTGATGGAAGAGCTAAGATTTGGGGACACGCAGTCATTCTTCAACTACCTTAGGATGGAGCCTGCCATGTTTGATGAGTTGGTGCAGAAAGTGGGACCAAGAATACAGAAGCAGGATACATATATGAGAAAGGTGCTACCTCCAGGCTTGAAGCTAGCCATCACATTGAGGTTCCTGGCTTCAGGTGATACCACAGCAACATGTACAGCTTCCGTGTGGCAAGGAACACAATCAACCTGATCATCTCAGAAGTATGTAAGGTCATTTGGGAGAATACAAGAATGAGGTTATCATCTGCCCGACCACTCCAGAAGAATGGACACCCATTGAAGAGGTATTCAGAAACAGGTGGAATATACCTCATGTCGTAGGAGCTTTAGATGACAAACATGTGGCCATTAG